TCAGCTCTGACAGTCATGCTTGAGTATGTGTCTCAATATGAAGATATTAACCATGTGAATGAAGTTTTAAAATTCTATTTCCACTATACTTTGCATCAATCAGGAACTTAGTGTATGTCTGTTGTATCTTTATTATATAAGTACTTCTGGAGATCTGAATTAACGGAGTATGTCTGCATATCTTTAAACTTTTGGTCAGCAACCTGGGCGATGGTGCTTCGAGTTTAATCCCAGCTAGTGAACTTTTGCTCTATCCAGAGCAAAGGAACCAGCTGAAAATAGGCTTAAGAAAAGAAGCTGCCTTTCCTTTCTTCCCTCTGTGGTTTTAGCGCTGGTTTGGACTACAACCATGACTCCATTCAAAATGTTGCTTGCTTCTTCAGAATTAACCTTGACCTAATCCTTTTGCTTTTTGTGCTGCATTGAACTGACTTTACCTGACTTTCCTTTCCCTCACCCATATCATTGCCCTACCAACCCCATTAATTTCCCACTGTGTATAGATCGCTTTTCTTGCTATTCCAGATTCCCATCAGGATCTCTGCAGCAGATTTCCACCTCTTTACCAATCACCTGGTTTTTCAGCCTTACCCAGCAGCATTCGCTGTTGCTCCCAGATTTCTCTTCTCCATGACAATCCTTCCATAGAGTGCTGAGATCATAGAATGGATAGGGTTGGAAAGGACCTTAAGATCATCTAGCTCCAATCCCCTTGCCATGGGCAGGGTCACCACTAAACCATGTCACCCAAGACTCTGTCCAACCTGGTCTTGAACATCACCAGGGATGGAGCATTCACAACTTCCCTGGGCAACACATTCCAGTGCCTCACCACCCTCACAGTAAAGAACTTCTTCCTTCTATCTAACCTGAACTTCCCCTGTTTAAGTTTGAACCTGTCACCCCTTGTCCTATCATTACAGTCCTTAATGAAGAGTCCCTGTCCAGCATCCTTATAGACCCCCTTCAGATACTGGAAGGCTGCTATGAGGTCTCCACGCAGCCTTCTCTTCTCCAGGCTGAACAGCCCCAACTTTCTCAGCCTATCTTCATACAAGAGGTGCTCCCGTACCCTGATCATTCTCATGGCCCTCCTCTGGACTTGTTCCAACAGATCCATGTCCTTTTTATGTTGAGGGCACCAGAACTGCGCACAATACTCCAAGTGAGGTCTCATGAGAGCAGAGCAGATGGGCAGGATCACCTCCTTCGACCTCTGCTGAAATCTCCCACTGACAGCAGTGGTCCCTTTGTTACCCTTTAATATGACAGTAAAAAGTATTTCCTCCCCGCTTTGTGGAAGACCTGAAGGCTCGAGATTCCTGAAGGGAGGAGTCTCATCAACACTTATTCCATCCATATGACTGAGGTGTATGTGTAGTCACATCTCTTCCACAGGAAGGCTGACTCCAACATCTGCTTCTAATTGGTAAAAAAAAAATTATTAGTAACCATGAGGACTGAATTACCATGATCTGGCACACACATCGGTTTAAAATTGGTTAGCCAAGACAATTTCCCCCCAAAAGAAGTCTAGATAAATGGGAAAAGCAAATAGTTTCAAATGACATGAAAAGCTAGATTTAGCAAACACAAACTTGTTTGTAGTAATTTAAAAGGAAAATCGTAACAGGCAAACGACATTTACATGTACACAAGAATAGTCTGTTATTTTCAAGATAATCAGGGCTTACAGTATCAGTGATGTATAATATGTGTTTGAAAATTTTCCTGTTTTATCAGATAACTGATAAATGTTATTTTAAACATATTTTAAACATCTTTCAAATAGCTATATCAAGCCTTGTGCCTTAGAAAGTAAACCATTATGTCAGCAAAATTGTGAAAGTAAAATCACAAAAAGCATATTAGTTCAGTTCTATTTTTCAGACAATAGATAAGAGGAGATATATAGGTATATTCTTAATGAAACCTAGTTTCTTCCCCATAAGATATTGTAAAGCTGTTCAACAGCTTTACAATACAACAGCTGTTCAACAGCTTTACGGAATTATTTTGTACTTGATACTTTACCTTGAAATGATAAGGTAAATAATGATTTACAATCATCTGAAATTACTGACAAATAAGCATTCAAAATTAGTAGCAACACATAGCAAATACATACAAGCCCAGACATAAAAATGGTAGTGTAACATCCTTTCCCCATTGTTTTAATCAGTTTTTACTACTGTTACATTAATAATATTTTTTTCCAAGGTGATTTTGAGAACAGAGGCCTAGATTTTACATACTTTTTGAAATAGATTTTCCTGTCACTCAGAAGAGTGACAACTCACTGACATCCCCCCAAGCTCTCATGGTCACTTCTGGGTCAGAATCAACAATTGCACAGTCATAAGATGCTATAAACCCAGCTGTTTATGACAGCTCTGAACAATATGCAACAAACTAGTTCCTCATGGAAATTTCAAAGTAGACATAAGCTAAATGTGTTAAATTAACTTATATGTGACCACAACTTTCCACCATAGTTCCACCACAGTTTTACAGAAAGCTCCTTGGGGCCCATAATGACACAGCTGTTGGGAGTGAGATTTTAGGAATGAATCCCCTGAAGTGAAAATACAAAGAAAGGAAAACGTTAATTAAGGAGCATAGAAAATAAAGGGGACCGGTGTGCTTACGTGTATGTTTTTTTCTTCAGAGCCTCTACAGAATAAATCACATCAACAGATTCCTTTACATCTGTTTGCACATACAACTCGCCCATGTTCATACATATGAATTTGTCCTAGAATTTCTTAAAAAAACCCCACAACAAACCACAGACAATCCCTTCTTTATTGTTGCTGATGAAGAATTAAAAAAAAATAAATCATGTTTACTTATATGTGTTTAAGTGTATTAGATAGTATATACATACATGGGTAGGTAGTAGACAAAGTAATAAAAAATAGGTTGGACTTGTGTAAGGATGATCAAGTAATTAAGAAAATATGATTAAGAGAACTAAATCATACTTTGATCAGTAAAGCACAGGAATTCATGACAAACTGATGGTTACACAGTCAGTGTTCACTGTAGCAAACAGGAACACTAAATGCCTCGTAATTCCCAGGATTGCTGTACAATGACATATTCAAGACTTTCAGCCCAGGAAAAATGCATGTGTGCCTAGGAGAAAACTATGTATTGAAAGGAAGCCCTTTCTTCCTTTATTTTGTAGTTGAAATTTAACTCCTGACATTTCTTTTTTACTGTATGTCTGAAGTGTTGTGGTAGAATAGATGGTGTGTAGTCATTTCTGATTTATGCAGAAGCTTTATTAATGTACAGATTATGTAAGTTGGGACAGAAACTTGCAACCTTATCTTGGCAAAGACAGGTTCTTACTATAGCATTTGGTTGTGATATACGATCTGCTTACCATGGAAAGCACTGACTCTACACTTAGTGTCAAGTATCTGAAAACTCTTTTTTGAGTCTCAGACTGCTTCTTTCCCTTGTTTTTTTTCTGCCTTGCCATTTACGTGCATTAAGACATACGATATCGCATGGAGTTTCACACACTGAATTAATACTGGCTTGGATAGTGCTAGTTGAGTGAATTCCAAATAAAGACATACTACAAGAAGCAAGAAAGAGCCCAGTTACTGAGATGCATGCATGTGAGTAATTTCATACACATAAATCCCTTAAATGATCCCCAACCACTTTCCAAAACCTGGACTTCGATGTTCTGTGTTAAGCTCAAATTTCACTGTGTGAAGCCACAAAGAAAACAAGTCAGTTCCAGCAGGATTTGTGCATCTGTTTGTTTCTTCTGATAGAAAGCTCTGTTTGCAGAATGAGAGCCTTAAAACTCCACATGGGCCCACAGTTCCTGTAAATAATATTCCAAATCATAGTCACTCACTGATATTGCATGGGGAATACTTTCTAACTCGTTCTGTGCATTGTACAGCTCACCGAGTATTCAATTTTCACATTTTTGTTCACAGAGCTAGTGAGAGAATGAATTTTCTTTCTCACTTGTAAGACTTGATAAAGCAGACAAGACACATCCAAAATGCATTTATAAATGAAAGAGTTTTCAAATGCCTTTTTGTGAAAGAACCCTAAAAGGAAATATAAATTATTTGGTAAATTACAGGCACAGAGTCCTCTAGTTCGTAGAAATTTCTATATTGCTTATGTCTTATGTGAACCAATTCTTGATACCAGCTCCTTTGCTAGAGTGTATATTTTATTATTAAGGTCTGATCGTTCCTCATTCTACTGTCCTGACTGCAGAAACAGAACCGTGCCTGCTTCTAGCCTCGCTATACGCAGTGTAATGAGTAAACATACAACAGGCTGTCTGCAGTCCTCGCCGGGTTACTCGTTCTCAGCAGGGATGCTGGGGAAGGAGCGCGGATGGCGGCTCCCCGGGATGAGCTCTGACGGCAAGCTCCCCATCCTCACGTTGACTAAACGTGAGTACCGGGTTCAAAGCAACGTGTTTCTGGCATTTCAGTTGGATTTCGCCTCTTGCTTGTGCTTTAACAGACAAACCCAGTCACCGACTCCCGCCACCGGGCTCAACCCAGGGCTGCCTCTTTCCAAGATTTTCACTCAAAAGCATCAAAACCCCCACAAACTACCGGAAAAACAACGGCAAAGCCCGCAGATCCCGCAGTGGCCAAGCTCATCGCATCCGACCCTTCATCATCTTCATCCCCATGGTGCCCCCCAGCTTCCCCCCCGCGTCGGGCGAGCGGGAGCTGGCAGAGGGAGGGCGCGGGGCTCTGCAGCGGCGACTTTGCTCTTTAAATCGCTCTCCAAAGCGGATTACGCCTGATCCCTCCGCGTCACACTGGAGTTTGCCCGGGAAAGAGGGTGGGAAGCGAAAGAGGGGGGGACGGGGGACGGGACAGAGGGGGGGGGACGGGAAGGGGAGGGTGAGTGAGCACCTCCCTCCTCCCGCGGGGCTCCGGGGAGGCGGGGACGAGGAGCGGGGACGAGGTTTAGCGGCGGCCGCCGCCGAGGCGGGAGGAGATCGGAGAGGTCGTTGGGGGGGCGAAGGGGAGCCTGAGGAGCGCGGCAGCGGCGCAGCCGGTATAGCGGAGGGTGCCCGGGGCGGCAGCAAACTGCGGAGCAAGATGCAGAAGAGTGTGAGGTACAACGAGGGGCATGCCCTGTACCTGGCGCTGCTGGCTCGAAAGGAGGGCACCAAGCGGGGCTACCTGAGCAAGAAGACGGCGGAGACCAACCGCTGGCACGAGAAGTGGTTCGCCCTCTACCAAAACGTGCTCTTCTACTTCGAAGGAGAGCAGAGCGCCCGGCCAGCCGGCATGTACATGCTGGAGGGTTGCAACTGCGAGCGGGTGCCGGCTCCCAAGGGGTGCGTCGCCGTCAGCGCCAAGGATGCTGCGCTGGATAAGCAGGTACCGCTCCTCACGGCTGCGGGGTGGGAGGGGTGGAGGGATGGAGAGAGATGGCCCCTGCGCAGCGATCCCACGGTGCTGGGGGCTGAGCGGAGCCACGGCCGTCGGGGCGGTCGGGTACCCCGCAACCCTTTCCCTCGGCATCCTTGCATCCATCGCGAAGAACGGTGGTGGGTGCTCTAGAGCTCAGGCAGGGAGGTCCGTGCCACTCCCGAAAGAGCATCAATTGCTCAGGAAGTGGCAAGGGCAGTGGCTTTCTCACCCCGTCTAATGAGTCTTCCTTCTCATCTGACTTTTTAGTCCCCAATGCCTGCCCACCTTGTTTCAGTAGGGTGCCCCAAGAGTAGCATCTGGCAAACAGGGTGTTTCAGCATCTTGATAATGACACTTCTGCAATACAGCTACACAATTCTAACCAGACTCAGTAAACAGAGTGTGTGAGAGCACAAAGTACCAAAACAGCATATGGGGGAGCCCATTCTGCTGTGGGGCTGCTGCTCGTCTCAGTGATGCTGCGGGGAGTAATGAGCTCTCAGCTCTCCCTTGGGAACCCCTCCGAGAACCAGGTTGGTGGCAGGGCGTCAAGGTGTGAGTGTGTGCTCTGGTTTAAGCCTGTGCCTTTCAGGTTCTTCTCCAGGCAGGTGTTGTGAAGTTGACGGTGCTTGCAATAGAAACGGTGTCGCAATGCTCGAGTCAGGAGGCAGATCTTTTGTGGCTTTGGGCAGGTGAGGAGTGCTGAAGGCTCTGGTGGGATTCATTCGCTTGAGGGGTGGAAATTAATAGTGCATGAACTGTCAAATTACCTCCCCCCCAAAAGCTGATCAGTTCAACATACACATGTCAAACCAGCAAGGGGTTAAATACTATCTGTGTATTGCATAACTGTGAACCAGAGGACTCTTTAGTTGTTCATTGTAAGTAGAGGTTGGGTATCCTAACCACACACCTCCTATTGCCTCATGTAAATTCTTGATCTCACTTGCTGCCTCGTTGAATTTGTTTTAATTTGCATCTTGCATGCCCTGGCATCTCTCTTCCTGAACAGGAGAAACTGAACAGGTGTCAAACTGGTTTGGAAATGTTTGGGTATTTCTAAGGAGAGTGGTTTTGAGCTGGCTGCAGGCATTTCCTGCTGATTATGAGGAAGGGACAAAGACTTAAGTCAGCCTCTGAAAACTGCTGTTTGCTCTGTTAGAGTGGTAATTTTGCAAAGAGAACTTAGAACCTGGTCTCATGTTTGTGCTTTTTTGCCCTTTAGCAACAAATGTTTGTGTGCTTAAGCAGCCTTTGAGATGGTGCATAGTTAGGCAAGTGAACTTTGGGATGATTGTAGTCATGTCATATTCATCTACGACATTCTTGCTTGTTGCTCTGAAGCATATCTGTATAAGCATCGATAAATGAAACACCAGAGGATTCCCCAGATGAAAGTAAACATTAATATTTCCTTGTCTGCTTTACATTGGCTTAGTGCAGTTGTTTATTGGTAGTGATGTTAAACTACGGCTTGACTAAGAGGACTGTGTGAAAACAATGCCTTTACATACCTGTTCTCTGGGAATCTTAAATTGTGCTTTTATAGTGATGAACCTTTGAGTTGTTTGTAATTACATTTAGTAGTGAAGAGACAAAATAATTGGAGGGTTTGAAACTGAATTTTGCTTTGCTTCAAACATCAACTATGTTGATGTTCTTAACAATAGCAGTCTGCTATAGAAGAGACAGAAGAACACTTAAATTTTTATTTTTTTTATGGGATCCTATTTTGAATTTTGCAGACAGACCATCAGAAAATATCATTTTCCTGTTCAACTTTTTCTTGATGCAGAATAAAGCTTTTGAGTGTCAGTAGTTTCTACAGATGTTTGCTCATTAAAGTACACCCTTATTTCTATATTCATTTAGGCAAAAACCATAGCTAAGGTGTACAGGAACCTCCCTCAGCAATTAAAATTGATCAACCACAAGAAAAATGATAAATATTTGAAAATTAAACATTTAGAAAATGTGCTCATATTCCTATAAGTGTAAAGGAATAAACCGTGAGCCTTCAGTTTTTTAGCAGAGGAAGACAAAGTCATTTTAATCAGATAATAATGAAAACTCAGTCTTGTACATGATAACTACTGGCAGTGTAAAAATGCTGCCTAGATTTAATTTGCTTTGATTTAATCACACAGATGTATTAATGTCATGAAAAGTATTATCTTTATGCCAGTTTTTGAAGGATCAGATCTCTCTCCTCCAAAAGAAAGAGAAGAAAAAGAAAAATAAACTCTTTTACTTTGGGTTTTATTTACCTAGGCAATTTAGACATTAGAGTGATATGTGTTATAGAATTACACAGATTATGGAAAGAAAGAAAGAAAGAAAGAAAGAAAGAAAGAAAGAAAGAAAGAAAGAAAGAAAGAAAGAAAGAAAGAAAAGAAAGAAAAGAAAGAAAAGAAAGAAAAGAAAGAAAAGAAAGAAAAGAAAGAAAAGAAAGAAAAGAAAGAAAAGAAAGAAAAGAAAGAAAAGAAAGAAAAGAAAGAAAAGAAAGAAAAGAAAGAAAAGAAAGAAAAGAAAAGAAAGAAAAGAAAGAAAAGAAAAGAAAGAAAAGAAAGAAAAGAAAAGAAAGAAAAGAAAGAAAAGAAAGAAAAGAAAGAAAAGAAAGAAAAGAAAGAAAGAAAGAAAGAAAGAAAAGAAAGAAAAGAAAGAAAGAAAGAAAGAAAGAAAGAAAGAAAGAAAGAAAGAAAGAAAGAAAGAAAGAAAGAAAGAAAGAAAGAAAGAAAGAAAGAAAGAAAGAAAGAAAGAAAGAAAGAAAGAAAGAAAAGAAAGAAAAGAAAGAAAAGAAAGAAAAGAAAGAAAAGAAAGAAAAGAAAGAAAAGAAAGAAAAGAAAGAAAAGAAAGAAAAGAAAGAACGGAGGGAGGGAGGGAGGCAGGGAGGGAGGGAGGAATCACATAAAAGAACATCAGCATCCTTTGAGTGGAGTAAGCAATATGTTTTCTTTAAGTTATGTAAATGAAGATTATGGAGAATTCATGCAGAGCAAATAGGTGTTGTTTTCCTTAGTTTGTGGGTCTTTTAATCTTCTAGTTGTTTAAGGATTTCTTGTCAAGAACTGTGCTGAGAAGTTGTCAAGAGTTCAGTGCAGAGAGCAATGGATCTGTACTAGCTGTACTTCCCTATACAGGAGACCATATTTCATTCAACACGTGTTTAGCTTTGGGTATCTATCTCCCAACAAGCTGAATGATTTCACATTTAATCACTGGTGGTGCTCTTATGACTTTCCAGCAGTCTCTTATGAGGGGACATTAAGTATTTTAAGAAATGTACCACTGTTTTGTGGAAGATGCCAAATGCCATCATAAGATTTGCTGTAAGTATTAAGAGCTTGAAAAAAAAAATTACAATGACAGAACACACTTTTTTTATCTTTTCCATGAAGATATTAGTGTATTTCTTTTCCTTCAGAAGGATACTTGCTTCAAAGCAAATTCATTTAAAGGTGCAGTATCTTTCTTAGTATTAACAAACTGCATAATGCATGAATCAGTTGATAATTTGGGAATATGGGATCAAATCAAGTATGTTGCAGATAGTATTTTTTTTTTTTTAAAGTATTTTGGTCTTGCTCAGATTTTACTTTTAAAATTTTTGTAAATGCCAAACAGGTGTTGCTATCTACTCTGATTTCACATTCTTGAAAAAAAAGATTTTATTGAAACATAAACAATGTGGAAGAAGCTGTGGAACAGCTTCTGCTTAGGAGATGAACTAGAAGATTAAAATACTACATGTGGAAAGCTTAAATTGTGACATCAGTTAAACAGCTTCTTCCTGCAGGAGCTGTAGGCTGCAAACAAGTGCAGCTCCCAACAAGTTCTCTACTGTGACAATGACAGACTCCAGGAAAATGAATTTCATCTTTTCTTTCAAAAATCCTGGAAAGAGATTGATTTATCTCAGTGAGTGGCTAGTCTCCCTCAGAGGCAGACTAAAATGCCTAAAACGATGCTTTCTGCAGTGTTTCATAGCAGACTGGCACTTGCTCACAATTTTTTTTAAGAGTGTTGGAAGCAAGAGTGTAGAGGAATGTAAATATTATTATTGTCTGATTTGGGAGGAGGCCTGTGTGTTTAGTTTCTTTCCTAATCGTGTACTGAATACATGGAAATGTTCTGATACAAATATTAATGACTGTCTTAGCGTATTTAAGCTTGTAAATGTTACGCGATTTGAGCAGAGACTATTCTTTGTATCTTGCCTGCAATAATCTTCCTCCCACTTAACAAAATTAAATGCAGTATTAAGTCCTTGTCCCCACAGATTAACAGAATCCAATTATTTTAATTTTTTTCTGCTTACTGTAGCTCTGAATTTATTTTATAAAGGACATGGTGATTTTGCGGTGCTTGAAACCTCTCTGTTCCTTGTAGTGATAAGGCAGGCATATGCCACCAGCAGTTTTTTCTTCACCTCAATGCTGATTTAGTGTATATAAAACCTAGCAACAGTGCTTAATTTTTTTTTTCCCTGAAGATACAGTGAACTAAAAGTTAATCTTTTCACTTTTATTTGGAGAACCCCACTCCACATTGTTCAGCATCTGTTATGTGTATTATATGTATTATATCTGTTACATGTGGTAGATGATTGAAGAGTGGTGTCACCTTTTTGGCAAGAGAATTTGCCACCTTTTGTCCATAAATCTTACTGCTTATATGTGGGCAAGTAACAACCTGGGATGTTCCAGTGCAAAGGTCCAACAGAGAAGTCCATGTTTTAGAAAACTCCTGCAGCATTTAAAAAATAATGGATGATGAATTTGTCTTCTCAGTATATAAGAAGAAAAAAGGTTGGCTTTTTTTTTTTTTTTTTCCCTCAACAGAAGGAGTTAATTAAAAATATGGCCAGTGAGAAGATATTAGTGCTATTGGGATTAGTATTTTTTGGGAAGACCTTCTCATGAAAGAGTCTTGCATGAAGACATCTTTGGGGTAACTAGCTCTTGTTT